ATAGGTTTTACAGCCTTTCAACTTTCTTTTCAAAATTTTAAACAAATTAGATAAAAAAGGGCAAATAAAATAGGAAGGTCTTTTTACAAAAAATGGATCTTTAGCATCTTTCACTGAGTTCATGTCAAGGGTTTCTGTTGGTAGGAAAAACATTCAGTCTGCTGATTCTAACCATGACACATAATTTATACTCATAATTTGATTTTATAAAACAATTTTTTAAAGAAAAATATTCAGAAAAGTGTCCAGTTTTGGTGTGTCTGGGAACATTTGCTGGATAATTTGTTGGTGTTAATATTTCAGCTGTTTGCAATCAATGCAAATGGATAAGTAATACCAACAAGAAACCAGCACAGAGTTGGTCATTCCTTTTGTAATTCGCAATTAATGAAACACAGAAGTGAATACCAAAACCAGTGGAATGAACTGCAGAAGTAAAATTCTTGATGTTTGTAACAGGAGATAATAATGTCAGCACAATTGAAGATACCTACCAAGCTGTGCCCTTTTCAAAAAGAGATAAAATAAACAGGAACGCCTTTGAGCAGATACATTGTAATTCAAGTTCTTTAAACTGGCTTGAAATATGGAACTAATATTTTTGCAGAGTATACAACAAGGTAGTATTCTGGTGAGCTACAAAAGCGTCTGTCTGTAGAACAACAGCTTTTTAATTTTTGTAAATAAACAATGTCTACACACACACAACTCAAACCCAAAATCATTCTTCACATTGTGCTTTTGGATACTGAGGTTTTCTTGCACTACCTGTACAACCCATGGATGTTACTATAAGCAAAAGTCTTCTGGAGATAATTTTACTTTCAGGGAATAAAACTTGATTCACTAATACAAAACTTAGGAAATAACAGCCATTGAGAAAATATTTGAATTGCACATTGTTAGAAATATCAGTAATTTTGTCATTATGTTTATCGTATATTATTATAAAAGCATTAATTTTGCACTGATTCACTGGCTTTAAAAAGTACTCTTTCAGTCTGTGAAGCACAAAGGGATTATGGGAACATCTTTGTATTTCTTAGATGGTCTGATAAAGCATCGCCTGCTGGAGGGCCTAATCCTGAAAACACTTGGAATGATGATGTTGCACTATTTCAAATCCACCGACATCCTTGTGCCGAGTCCAGGCTTGGGAGCTGGCTAGAACACACCTGGGCATGACATGACATGGCCCTGGCACTGGGGGGACAGGAGACATGGGAATCTGCACCTACAACATACCCAAAATATTATTCACCACTGTAATGGATCAGGGTGGCTGCTTTTCCAGTAGTAGGCTGGGTGATTGTCTTCCCAAAATCAGCTCTTGACAGTGTTCATTCACCTCCGGAGTGCAGATGGTGAGTCTAAGTGTGGGGTCCCTCTCTCTTCCCCCTGTGTCTCACAAAATACTTCTCTCCATGCTCCAGAAGAGGTAGTGGAGCCTGTGATGCAAAAAAGAGCTACTTGGGGCTGTGACAGTGCCTCACCATTTTGTGACTGGATATAATGCATGTGCATATGGAGGGCAATGCAAGTCTTTGGTTTTCTGCTGGATTTGATGGAAAACACTTCTGAGCCTCTCCCTTTCTGCACACTTTTCATTCCTTGATGACAGTACACTTGTTGTACCTGGAGAAAAGCTTGTTTTGTTTTTTTTTTTTTTTTTTTGTGCTAAATTGCCAGATTATTGGGTACTGTGCTATAAACTGTATCGATACTTACTGTCTCTTTCTGTTTCCAAGGACAGACTACTAAACACAATAGATTAAGGCAGCTGCAGGTTTTCAGCCCCACTTCAAAGCAAAACTACACCATTTTTGTTCCTAGACCTCATTTTGGCTATGCAATATTTATGGCAATTCCATCTTTCCTTTTTTTTTTTTTTTTTGGTTTAAAGATATATTGTAATTAAAGTGTGGATGTTACACATTTAATAAACAAAAAGAATGAGAAAAAAGGCATGCATCTTTATTGGTAGCTACATTCAATCTGTGGCCATGTAAACTGAAGTAGTCCTGTAGTCCTTCCTCTGTGCCATTGCTACACAACATATTTATAATGCATAATGAACCACTTAAGTGTGCATACACTAATATGTATACTCTATGCATCAAATCTCAGTGGAACTGGCCATACCTTCCTGCTTTTTCCACAATGTAATGCTTCTCTTTTCCTAGCATGAGCATTCAGGAAAGCAGAATATGAGTTCAAATATGGTCATATTCACAAGAAAGAAATTGCTTATTGGTTGTACAATGTGCAATGCAGACTTCATTAGTTAGTTTGTGCGAATCAAGTATTAATATGCCCTAATTGAATGTATTATGTAACATAACATTTATTGTATTATTTAAAGATAACATTGAAAATGTGTGTTGGTTTGGAGAGGCACATTAGTAATCCAATTAGAGCAGACGCCATATCCATAGATTTGCTAGCAATCAGCAAAGTATTTTATTTAGATTAGTTCTGAACATTCATTGCAATAATTAGTCACTGAATATTTTTCAAGTTAAAGGTTAGAAAAACACAAAAAAAGTGAGAACGGTCTCATTGCTACAGCTAATTTCCATATAATTATAAATTCATCCCACATAGGCAATCAGGTTTATACTGAGCCCGCAATGCCTGGCTATATGGCTTCCACTGCTGCTAACGTCCTCCTTTCCGTAGCAAGTCAAGAGATGACTTATATACAGGTAAATGCTCGTAGTATACCCAAATTTTCACCTGCAGAAAGCTGGGGAAGGGAAGAGACTATGGGCCAGGGCTGGGATACTGGGGCTACACTGACAGGCAGCATCATACTGCGCCTCTGGGTGCCTCTGGGTAACCCGAGCATGGCATGGGGCGGTCACCAAGAGCTTTAGTGTAGTTCTTACACCTCTCCTGTCTTCCACTAGTAATTTTTGCTGCAATTAGAGCTGGCAGTTGGGTTAGCATTTAGCACGTACATGTCAAAGAGGCACAAATATCCTTTAAAACAGACCTTATTTCCATCTTTAGTTGCTCCTACTGCTGCATGGTCCCAACCACTGCCTGAAGTAGCTTTGTAGGTCTTGCTAGTGGTAATGGGAGTTGCTTGTGCAACACTTCTTCCTCAGGGCTACAGGCAAACTACAGCCTTGTCCTTCAGAAACTTCCATCTGCGACTGAGGTCAATGAGATTGCTTCTCTGAACATCTATATTGTCTGAATGACATCCTTCGCATTGCAAGGAAATAAAAAGCGATCAGAGTATTTTGCACAAAACAGTGTTTACAGATGGAAAGAAACCAAAGAGTATTGGCTGACATCTCAGGGTGACTCCAAACTTTGTCCAAGAAACAAGGAAGACAAACCCCAAGAAATAAATGCAGTGACTTGCCAAACACTACAGGTTTCACAAGAAACTGTTCCTTGTAACCTTTCTGCCCTGAGCTCCAGGGGAAAGAGAAGATGTCACTTGAATGTGGCCATTTTGCTTTATTACTTTGCACTTAAATTTTAGTTCTCATCTGCAACGTATTAGCACAAGGGCCAGACGAACATGGTATCTCCTCTCTTCTCACTGGAGGTCCAAGCAGCTTATGTCTGTGCAATCATTGGTCTCACTAGGGGCTGGCTCACAGAGAAGTCCTCAGTCCTATAGCTTTCTGCTGCTCTTGAATGCTCTTCTCAGGCTCAGACAGCAAAAAAACAATTTGGGGATGGGGTCTGAGCTCCCGCCTGTGCTCAGCAGGCAACTGGGATGTCTGTGTCTGTGCCAGGTAGGAGTCACTGCTGTTGCAGGGTGGTGCAGAGGGGATTGTATCAGGGAAGATGAACTTTTAAATCCTAAGTTAATTGCAATCTTTCAAGGCTGGCCAAAAATAAAATCTGGGGGGGAAAAAAATTTTCAAGAATGTAATACAACTTCCAAGTTACCTGAAAAGAAAGTGCAATCTAGTGCAGTGTGCTTTCACTGTCCCACTCCGTTCCTTCAGTTTCCTCCTGGTTTCTTGTGCTTCAGCCTGTGTCTGGGTATTGCAGGTATCTGCTTTGTCTGTGAAAATGAAATACCAGGAGGAATTGCACTTGGTGCAACTGGTGCATGTTTAGGGTTTAATTCACAAAAGAAGCAGGCTGCCCTGGGGAATCCTGAGTTGGACCATGCACAATAAAAGAGAGGAGTTAGGTACCCAAGTCTGGCAAGTTTAAAGAGAAGATGTCATAAAAAAAACCCTAAACAACTAAGAGAGACCAGGAAGGACTAGGGAAGACTGATGTCAAATCCCCTACGTCCTCTTGGCTCATGTACCCGTGCACACAGGTGACGGGTGTCCAGGTAGTGCTAGTAAGCAGAAAAGTAGAGATTTGGAGCTTGGTTTTCATGCATCCTTGAAAAATACTTCGGCTACTGAATATGAGGGAACCATAATGTCACCCTTGTCAGCTGCTCTCCAGTGAGACCCAGCTCAGTAACCGTGCTCTGAGCCCTCTCATAAACTGGCCTTGCTGAGCCAGATGGGTTTGGGGATTTTTATGAAGCTTAGATATGAGCTGGGGGTCCCTGTGGTTGAGTTGTGTCAGCTTCTGGAGATACGTGTGCTGCAAGAAAGGGGCACTGGCAGACAACTGGGCATGTACTTTATACACCTCTGAGGCTAATGAGAAGCGTAATGGAGTTTATCAAGGATCCTGGGAGTGAAGAAACTTTAGACCTAAGTGCATAGAGTAGCAATCAGATGCCCAAATCCCTCAGGGAACTGAGCTCTAGGAGCTAATCCAACTCCCTTTGGAGTTAATAGGAACTGCAAAGGGTCCTGCAATGGCACCACTGTGACCAATGGTACCAAAAAGACTCAAAACCATTTAAATCATACTGTAACAGACTGCGCGTCTGCCTTTGACTGGTCTCAGAAAAAGTACAGAAGTAGCAGAGGAGGTATGTACAATTTCATATTACTTCACTGTATTTTCCAGGCAGGAATAGGTAGTTTGAAAACAATTTACAAACATTTAAACAGGTCCCTAATCATAGTTGTAATATTTATCCTTTAAAAACAACTTACTGAAAAAATAAACCCCCTTAATTTGCAAATTTGTTGTCATAAAAATATAGTTCTTGAACTCACAGAATGTTAATGCATTTGAACATGTTTTTATGAGCAAAATAACAAACCTAAGTAATTCTGCTGTGGCTTGGGGTCCTATCTATTCAAACTCCTAAATCCTTCGGGACAGAGTCTGTCTGCCTCGATTTATGCAGCACTTCAAACTGTGGGGTCTGTTCTAGTGAATAATAGTCCCTGTGATGGCAGATGTACCAACCAAGATACAACCCTAAGAGAGGTCTATAGTTGCAAAGAGATGAGCACTCGATTCACACTCTTGATAAACAAACACATAAATCATCATAGTTAAAGAGATTTACCCCAGGGGGTAATCCCGAGGGAAAAGAACACATTTTAATTCTTTTGGCTCCCTGCCTCTGCTGTTTCCAAAGATGTGCCCTGCGTCTCTGGAAGGTGCCTTCCTGAACTTGGTCTTTGCAGTCAGTCTTCCAGTATTTCCCAGACCACAACCTGCCCCTAACAGAGTCTGCTTAAATTTATCCTTCAAGGATCACCAAACACTCTGACCTCTGCCTGCTTCTTCAAAGGGCCACTCAAACGAGACAGAGTACAGACAGACAGGCACTCAGACACATGGACCTCAGGGGGTCTCTCTGACATCAGGGAAGCTCCTGCCAGATGAATGCCTCTTGAATGCAGTCTCTGCCATACCACGTACTCTTTGAGTCCGTATCAGGTAGATACAGAACATAAGTATTAAGTGTTTCTGGCCAGCGCATCTTGATAAAAGCTGTGACTGCGTTTATAGTATGATAAAGATCCACAAGTGATTGTTTATCTGCTTGCTGCTCTGGTTCCTTCTCCTTCAGGCAAAAGATAGAATCATCGCTGTACTTCAGCTGGCAGGCTCAAGTGTGCAAAACTTCAAATTAGAAGTTAGTTTTCTGAGGTTAAATTCCAAAACGTGTTGCACTACTACAAATTTAAAGGAAAGCAAACTGTTGGATATCCCAAACCCATGCAAAACAAAGTGAAGTAAATAAACAACAGAGTAACATAGCTATATGAAACTTCATGGAGATATTTTTAAATATTTCTAATATTCCTAGTTTGTTTTCATCAGCTTTTTCAATTTATTCAGCAATCAACCTAGGACTCATGATCTTGCCTGTAACTACTCAAGCTGTTTTCAAGAGCTGATCGTTGTGGCTTCTCAAGATTTCAAGATTAAGTGATATTCCTTGCTGGAAACAGCAGAAGCCTTTTATTAGCTTCATAGCCTTAAAGGAGTGGCATAGTATAGATAATTTAGAGAAAGGATCCAGAGCTTTGCACATATTTCTGAAAGAGATTTGCAGGAATTCCTATGCACCCATTTGTCGTGCTAAACTAGACACTTCGACCACATTTGCTTGAAGATACTTCTGGTGAAGACACTTCAGTGGTGTGGGCTAGCACAGGCTAAATATGATTTAAGACAGTAGCAACACCCTTAGGTCAATTTATGACATAGTACCAACATTTTGGGAGAAGCCAGCTTCTGGGGGAGCTTCAAAGCAATTACATTCTGTATAACCTTCACAATCAGATTTGTGGGAAGCAAGCACAGGATTGGGGTCCCCAAAGAACTACAAAGAAATAATTTGCATGAATCTCTGAAACAATATTGCAGGAGTAAAATATGCAAATTTAAGACAACAGAGAGCCTACATTCATTTTACCTACTTATTTTCATGTAAAAGTAATGAAATAAGCATTTCAGTGGTGATGCAAACATTTGGCACCAGAGGTGTGTATACTGGCTTCTCTTGCACTGAATGAAGTCGGTACCAAAGTTGGCAATTGCCTGTTTTCAGTAATTCAGCGGGTGGAAATAGTTTTGCACTTTTTACCATGCTTCTTGATAATCCCCTGACTTTTAAGAATTAGGTAGCAGGTAGTGTTTCAGACAAGACTGGCTAAAAAACATTTATAGTCAGGGGAATTCAGCCCATTTGATCCTCTACCACTGAAGTCAGTAGGAAATACAGTCACCCTAAAACTGGTGTAACTGCAGTCACATACATGTATGTTACATACAGGCTTGCTATGAGGAATTGCCAAAGACCATCGGGTACAAAGTTCAGGGCCAGATCCAGACTTCAACAAATGATGAGATATTGTTTTAGCCAAATCTTATCGACCCCAAGTTTGAATCTGGAGCTGAACTTGCGCATTTTATGCATTTTAACCCAGAGTTTGGGTTCAGGCTATGTTCTGAAGAACATGGTGGTTTTCACACCATTGTAACCACGCACACCGTTCTTCTATAATTGCATCAGATTCTGCATCAAAGACATCCAAGCCTCTTCCAGAAAACCTCTTTGGGAAAAATTTAACATTACGGTAAAGATGTTACTGCATATTAGAGAAGACTTATAAAACCCCCAGAAACTAAAATGCTGAACACCCAATGAATACCAAGGCCGTCTCTGAATTTAAAACTTTCTGGTAGTTTACAGTGATAATTCCACCCTAATCACCATTTTATTTTTATTAAAGAAACAAAAGGAATTTCAAAAACTCTACCTAGAATCACTTGTTTCTGCCAAGCGGTTGTTCATGATGGCTAAAGCACCCACCCCTGCAGAGAAACCGTTTTGTCTCGTATTGATACAAACGTTCCTTGGGTAGCCATTGGCTGTCTCAGACAACTGCTTTTGCAAAATGGCCAGGGAGACTTTATTTGATGCCGTCAGCTCCCTCATGGAGATCATCTCTCCGGAGAGCCTCCTCCCCTCGGTGTCGCTGTCATATTGTCCATCAGCGTCCACTGAGATATTATGTCGACGTAGGCGAGCTCCTGGGGTGATGGCATTGCGACGTCCAAGGCGGGTACTTGATTTATGGCACTTTGGGCAACATCTGCATTCGAATTTTTTCAACACCCAGTTCAAAACTTGCTTGATTACAATTGAGATGACATTAAAAAGAGAGTATATGCAACATACCCCCATTAATATAAATATGAAGTTTCCGAATCTGTATAATCCCTGGTTTTGGTATGCAGCATTCTGGCTGCTTACCAAATCTCCAAAGCCAATGGTGCTGAAGGTGACAAAGCAATAGTACAAGGAGTCAATGTAGTTCCATCCTTCCACCGCTGTGTACATCGCGGAGGCGCAGCAGGAAAGGGTAATAGCAAAAATTCCCAGAATCAGCATCACATGGTAAACAGATGGCTTCCACCCCACGAGGTTGCCCACCCCCGGCACAGCTGGCCCCCTTCGGAAGTTGGGAGGTAGGAGACCACTTCTTCGCAGCTGTCTCTCATGGCATGCCTTCATGATAAACGCCAGGAGAGAGATAATGCGCTCCAAGAAGAGGTTGAAGAAAAGGATAGTCCCAGCACACCCAAAAAGGCCATAAATGATGAGGAATACTTTTCCAGCCACGGTTGCTGGTGTTGTCATCCCAAAACCTAAAGTGTGGAGATAAATGAGTATCGTTAATGACATGGTTTTCCATGCATAAGATCAGGACACATGTAACTTAACAAAGGTGCCATCTCACTGGACAAAAGAAGGAGTGCTACGTCTAAGTCAGCTTAGGCCAACGTGAAACTGAGTTTGGTAAAGAATTAAGAAGGCACCAGAAAGGTCAACGAGATGAGCAAAACTCAAGAGGGAGCAAAACATCCTCGCAGAGACGAAAGATGGTATTAACAGAGAAACACCACTCTCTAAATGCAGGTGGATGCATTCCCTGATCCCATGCGTGTGAGCCAGCGTGGCCTGACGGAAAGTTTAAGCTCTTTATTGACAAGCTGTAACCCAGCATAACACTGTTGTTATCGAGGGTTGATAATACCACTCCTGCTGAGAAGGTGGAAGGTTTCAGGTTGTATATCAGGAAAAAAACCTCCACCTCTCAAAGACTGAATATTGTTTTTAAAATAACAGCACTTTAAAGTTTTAACCAAATCACAACTGTGACTAGCCCACCTGATATAATCCAAGAAGGAAGGAAAAGTCATAGCCCCGTTTTAAGCCACCTGGCAGACTGGGAGCACTAGGGTCTTGCAGACTGTAAATTACAGCAGGGAAAAACACTGACACACAGCTAAATAGAAAAATCAGAGCATACAAACTCTGGAAAGATCCAGCAGCAATATTAATTCACCTTTTCTTTACAGAATTGTCTTTTCACATTACTCGTACACAGACTTTTATACTGAAGCAGTAATGCCTTGTATGTAGCTATAGATAAATAACAGCAAAAGTCATCTTAAATTTGCATGCAAATAAATACAGTTAGTTTGCTCCATGTTATTTGCTGATAAGTTACTTTTTGAAAAAGAACTGCATATATTTCACATATTACCTATGGCAGATTCTTCTGAAGCTCAGTTCTGTAGGTATTGCCATCGTTCTGCCATTCTTCCCAGTAAAACTGTTCAGTGGTTCAGGCAAAAATATTCTGATGGAATTGAAGTGACTGCTCTTGTCCCATGAATAACTAACCACATATAATTTAAATGAATGGTTTCTCAAAAGTCCATATGATGAAATTTCTTTACCTTATTGTTCCACAAAAATGCTAAGCAAGTAACATATTTGGGGAGGTAAACATCAAGATCGGACCACATAAGTGAAAGGTTGCAAAGAAAAATGACGTGCTTTTAGCATAGAGCGTAATGAAATAATTAAATCCACTTTATTACCATGATGCACCTTTAAACAGCAACAGGAAAATATTTCCTACATAAAATGAGTGGCGATTGCTGCTTGAAATCTATATATTGATTTTTGCAATGGCTGTACTTTTCTAAGTAATTTATTTGTGCCACCTTTGTACTTCAATGATACAGAACTTTGCATTTGTTGATAAAAGAATGTAAATGCTTCTGACAAATAAACTTGGAAATATCTTTTCAGTGACATGAAGGTGCATGAGGAAAGAGGTGGTCTACTTTCACAACAGATTTGGCATGCTTGAAAACATCTGTGTGTCAGCAATTGAGACTATACTGCATCATTAGTATCTTCACAGTAGAAACAGTCTTTTCTGTAAAAGACAGGGGAAAACTTGCAGAGTATTATCAGAAAACTAAAAAAATACCGAAGAGGTCATTAAATTCTGTTTTCTGGACCCACGGTCTCTCCATTTTGTCATGCTAAAAGACCATCTTTGAGCAGATCTCACAAAGACTGCCTTGGGGTCCCAGGCTTAACGTGGGTGACAGGGAAGCTCTTCTCAGTTCCTCTTCCTCTGTGGGGTGACACTGTTATCTGGGCTGGGCTGGCTGCTCATGGGAGCCTTCTCATTTGATGATGAATATCCACTAGTGCCTGGTCCCCAGAAGAAGCTGGGGAGCCTGTTGTGGTTGCCAGCGAGGGATACATGGCCAGCTAGCTATGGAGAAGGCATCTGTTCGCCCATGCCTTGTCAGCAAAGCATTTAAACATGTGCTTCACACCAAGCATGTGAACATCACCATAAAAATAAATGGGTTTATTGTCACACATATGGCGAGATACATTTATTAATACAGCTTGGATCAAGTTGTAAATGTGCTGAAGCTTTTTAGTATTTTCTGGTGATCATTCATGAGAGGTGGTGAAGTTTTATATTTTTGATGCCGTTTGTTTAAGCAAGATTTTCTGAAGCATAATGTTACCAAGACTCACTGTGTAGCTATGCAAGGTGAAAGGACCCATCACAGCAACAAGAATGCTAAGAAACACATAAACCAGGCAAAAAGACCAGGCAAACATGGTAATTTCAGGTAAACAGCTAGTGCATACAAGTGCACTGATGTACTCTTCATACGGGTCTTCCTTCATTAGCCGTGTTTGTCCCTTTGGCACCACCTGGACCATGAGGGGTTAGTCCTGGCATGTTCTGTACAACATCTCTGAGCTCAGCCCCTGCTCAAGGCTAAGTACATCATGATGCCTGGATGAAACAAATTCTTCCAGAACTGCCTGTGCTTTTCAGACAGTACAAGGAAAGAAGCACAACAGTGCTTTGCATTTTTCATGGCCACGACACATATTGTAGAGGTACCTGGGGGTTGATTCTGTGTGGCTCAGACACAGTATGCCAACCTCTCTCATGCTAGTTCTGCCCCACTGTGACCCATTACTTCAGATACAAGCTCTATGGCAGCTTTAATTTCAGCTGTTTGATTAATTTCAGCTTCTCCTCAAACAAACAGAATTAGAGATGAGTCGATAAAAACTCTCAGATAAGACTTGTACTTCAGCAGCATCTCATGGGTAAGTGCTGGCAATTAATGAGTCCCCCATCCTGACTTGCATAACAGGTTTTGTGGTTACTATTCTGCTCATCTGCATTTTTAATTTACTTAAACTGGTGATGGATTCAAGAGGTAGCGTAACTGGACAAACTTGTGATATGCTTCCTGTTTGCTTCTGCTTTCTTTTCTTTTACCCATTTTCTTATGGGTAAAAGAGATGGTTGATGCCAGAAGACAAAAAGGAATACCAGCTTTATTACCTGTGAGCTCTTCTCTCAGGTCAGTTGGTTTGGCAGTTACCTTGTCTTATTATATTTTGAGATTAAAGGAGATGACAGTTTTCCAGTGACGATGGTTTTACCCAGAGGTGGAAGAAAGTTTTGGTAACCTTGAGAACTGAACACAAGTCAGTCTTCCAGCCTTTACCACGGCATCATGTGTCCCTGCCTCTTTCAGCCAGCCCCTCAGTCCTTCTTATGCAGGTGTCCTGCCATGGGACTTGGTTCATACAACTAGTCAGCACAGCTGAGCAATCATTTTAAATCCCGTAGTGTAACAGCACTTACAACATGAGAGTAGCGTCACCTCTGTACCATTATGTAACTATAATGCATTTATATTTAAAGTGATCAAAAGAAATTAAAATTGTTGAATATAACTTTTTATAAATGATTTCTCAGAAATAAATAAAACCCCCTATAACTAGAATGCTGCTTCCAGAGGGAAAGAAGTTCTTGCAACATAAAGACTAAGCTCTTACAGAACTGGTCCCCAGGAGATGGGGGTTACAGAACACAGACAGATAAACTAAGAACAACCAATTTTGTTTTGTGTCTGTTCTACACTTGCTTTACTTCATGGCTTTCCAACAGTCTTGGTGGGTCTTTACTGACTAACACATATACTGTATCAAGGAACAAAACATCATATTCTGAATCCCATATTTGGGTTCCAGTGCTCCCTTCAAGCCCTTTTCCACCAGTTAGCATTTCATCATTATTGCCCCTGATAGAGTCATACCTGTATATTTCACAACTACCTCTCATTTATTCTATAGCTCCTTACCACCTAACATCCAGAAACAGTTGCCTTGGATACAGGGTCACAGCTCAGAGCCGACAAAACTGCCGCAGATGGGAACCTTCTGCCGCATCCAGTGCTTTTACACAAGGAGTGACAACACTACGAGGCAGGTTTTCCACCTGGCTTTACATTTTCGGACTACAAGTTAAAAACTTACTTTCACTTTAACATATCTGTTGCCTGCTTTATTAAAATACTGGCCCCCCACCACCACCTTTGGGCTCAAACTGTAAATTTTTTTAGAGCTTTTCCATTACAAGAGCCTTTAATATCAAAATTGTTGTACAATCGCATTTGCATTTAATCTTATTTAGATTACTATGTGGAAACAGAGCTCCTGAATAGTGGCGGTCTGTCCGGCACTCTGTGCATTAAGACACTTCAAGTTAGATCTATGCTACAGCTGAACACATGAGATACCACTGCAGTCTTTAGGGCTGGCCTAACCTGTATCACAGACAAGCTTGCAGTCCTTGGTGACCCATGTACTGGAGCAGACAGCCCACAGAGAAAATACTGAGTGACTATGCAACCAAGGACTAACTCCCATTACCTACCCATCTATCTATCTATCTATCTATCTATCTATCTATCTATCTATCTATCTATCTATCTATCTATCTATCTATCTATCTATCTATCCATCCATCCATCCATCCATCCATCCATCCTTGGTAATATATACACCACTTCAAGTTGAATAAGCAGGCTGTTTCTAGCATTTCCTAGCTTTGTTGTTATGTTAACAACATTCTTCTAACATGGACTTGTTCTCCCCAAAGCCTACAGTAAATAGAAGTCCTGTAAATTTGCTTTGTGAACCAGGGTGGGCTAAACCAGGTCTTTTTTTTTCCTAACTCCTGACTGTTCAGTACATTAAAATGTGCATGCATGCACCCAATCCATCAGAGACTGTGGGAAAAGATGCCCAGTCTATTCTGTGACATGAAAGAGCAATCATGATAAGCTCTGTGAACATAGTTAAAAACAACCCAGGTCACCACTTTTGCTCCTTGTTACATCTCCACCACTGAAATGTGAGTCAGGTGTTTGAGACAACTGCTACTCAAAAGGAGCCACGCTGGCAGAACAGAGCCAGGAGATGATTAACTGAACATTAAGGAGTTTCAAGGAGCTGCAGGCAATTATTAGAGGCTTTCCACAGTACCAATT